GTGCAAGCAACATGGTATTTGAGTGCGAGCACACAGTTTGAGCAGAAACAGAGTAGATCCAAGCGCAAGCAGAGGCTATTTGAGTGCGAGGGCAGGGTTTTTGAACGTGAAATCAATAAATAATGCTCTCAAACTGATAGACCACTCTCTTGAATAAAGATAGGGATAAAGCTCCATACTAGTGACTGTCAAATTGCCAGCGAAAGTTGTTTAAAATGCGGACACGGAGAGCAGCTGAGTGCCTGCTCTCATGGGACAAAGATCCTCTGAGAAGAAAGAAGGATCACTCTGATCTGCCACCAGGAACAAACTGGGAGGCAAAGATCCTCTCTGAGGAAGAGGGTTCACTTTGCTGCAGGGTTCACCAAAATGTTTTTTTTTTTTTGTTGTTGTTTTTTTTTTCTTTTAATAAATTGAACACACATTAAAGAACATACAAGATCCTGTAGAGAATTAATACCTATAATACAATACAACAAAAAATGTCAAATTAAATAAAGGAAGAATATTTTTTTAAAGGCAAATAAAATATTGTGAATTTATGTAAAAATATACAGCTGATCACAAGGTAAACGGTAAAAATACAACAGCCTTGTTACAACAAATTCCTCCAACAATGTGTGTTTTCGTGGATCCGATTAGCCAGTGCAGTACCTTCCTGGATAACATGGTATTGCCATGTGGCAAAGGTTTAGTCAGGTAACACTCCCAAGCCATCTGATTATGCAAGTATGGGTGTTAAATAATTGCTCTACAAAAAAATGGAGTTAACATGGTGTGATGATGACCCGGTGCTGATGTTACCAAATAAAAGAGAGAAGAAAATGAAAACGTGGTACATCTGATACTGAGAAGAGGGCAAGAATAGATAGAATAGACTTTCACTGCTTAGTGTGAGAGTTAAAGTTGTACTATGGCCACTTTCTGCTTGGAATGTCAAGAGAGTTCAAGGTTTTTGTTGGTACAGTTGGCTAATGCAGACTTGCTGTATATTGTACACTCGCTGTAGTACATTCACTGCACTGCCTTAATAAATGCACACACAAGCTTGATTGTTCACAATTCAAAGAAGTTTGATTGACCTAACCTTTTGAACCCATTATAGTAGAGAAATCATCATCAAAAAAAAAAAAAAAACTACCAAGAGACACTGTGTCTGGAATACTGTGAGCACTCAAAGTACACACTGTTTTAGTACTAATGTATAGTTTTTTCTTCATCTCTTTGTTTCTCAGGCCTGCATAGTGTTAACAGGTATGTTCTAGATTGTTTTCTGGATATGGTTTTTAATCCTGAGGCCTTGGGGAAAAAATCCAATTTTTTTTGTATCGCAGTAGGAATTTGATTTTCCTTTTTCAGAAAAAATGTTGTGTAATGTTCTGCATACTGGCTTATAATCAAGTCTTTTTCAGTCACCTTGAGACTGTGAAGACTTTCACAACGTGTTAGTAAAATTATACCTTTGTATAGGTCATAACAACCTGTAGTACAGAAAGGCAGGACAACTGATCTACTTCTATTACTATAGAAAATATTATATCCATACAATTTTGTTAATTTCCAAAATGTTGTCAAGCTTGGGCTATGACTGTATGTTACCACTATCTTGTAGAGAGATAATCTGTAATATTTAGAATAAAATGCATGTTGTCATAAATTGATCTTTAATTCATAAACCCAGACTGAGTTGTTCTAATAACTTGGGGATGAGTTCAGTCGCATAACAAAGACACGCACCACGAGTTTACAAACAATACTCAGGAGGGTAATCAGCCAAACATTGTTAATCAGTCTTTGATCTTTTCCTGGTTTTGGAATAAGGACAGCAAGTGCTTGCTTCATGGCTGGTGGAAGGTTATGACTGAACAGCTCATGAGGGCACCTAAACCAAAAGTTGTCTTAAATTACTTAAAACATGTTTGTAAAAACAGACATGAAACGTTTTGTTTTCTCCCTTCCTCTCTTTGAATTCACTGATTTGCCAGTTCCATTACCTTTTGTATCCTCCTTGCTTCCCTCAGTTCCACATTCTCCTTTGTCAGTGTCCACCAATTGTTGGTCATCCTCTCCACTGATTTTTTTTGCAGACACTGATCTCCACCATATTGAATGCAATGTTGTTACAGCTTTCCTCTATCGTGCCCTTTTCTTAAAATTTTTGGTCTGGTTCCACAAAATGATCAGTGAAGGATTGAATGGCAGCTAGCAGGGTGGCATTAGATATTGGTCGGACTCCATCGCATCTGTCTGCATTCTTTTGGAGGTTTTGGTGTAGTCATTAACTGGGGGCTTTGCTTTTTAAGATATTTCTTTGGTGACAAAACAATTCAGATGTAGTTTTAAAAACTGTCAAGTGTCTTCTCAGCCCACTATCTTGCCACACTCAGACAATTTGTTGTGATGAATGCTTTCGTGTGGTGGACCTTAACACTACAAATGTAGTAATGTGGAGACAGAAACTTTATAAACAGTCAATCACTTACAGTTAAAGAGTAGAAAACAGGCTGCCTAAAATATTAAGTCAATTTTATTTTTAAGTCTTATTCAACACCAGTAAAATGACTGTAGGTGTGGACAGATTTTGTTGACCATGTAGTATTTTCTTTACAGATTTAATTTGAAGCTTGTATATGCTGTTTGCACGGCCTTTTACATCACCCCTCCTCAAGGCTATGGATAACTTCTTAACAGTGCATCCAAACAAGATGAAAACCTGTAAAAGGAATACTTTATAATTTAATACGGCATTGTGGTTTAAGGTTTGAATCTATTTAATGCTTGCCTTACTATATCAATAACTTCTTCAAAGAATTATCTTGGCTGCCATTTAAAAACAAGCTTTTATCTTTATAGCAACCTGATCTGGGGCAGATAAGATGGCACACCAGCGAGTCCCTTAGAACACCCTGTGGACTCAGGCTGGCAGCACAGGCCTGTAGCTTGCAGAGATTTCATTCTTCAGCTCTGGCAAAGCACTGCCAGTCAGTCCTCAAAGACCACACACCTGGAAAAGGTAAGAAATTAATGATGACTATGATAACAGAGGCAGCAGCAGTGGTGATAAATAATAGTTTCACATTCTGTGGTAAAAATGAATCCTGATTGTTCAACTTTAATATTGATTTTGTGTTGTCAATAAAAGTGATATATTTTCTCATAGATAGTTGTATACATTATGTGTATTTTGGGCACTGTAGCAGAGTTTTAAAATTGAATTCTGTAGATTTGTGTTTGCATTTGTACCTGTAATTCCAGTCAGAAGAGTGGTACACTAGTTTGGTGCACATTCTTAAAAAAGGCTTTTGATACTGTCAACCTCTGCAATTTACCAAGCAGATTACACTGTCTGGGTTTGGATGATCAGAAATGGTTTAATGCATATTTATTTGATCGATCAGATAAGATCTATCAGAACACAGAAACTCTGTACTGATGGTTTTAACATCAACTTCCCTTTTCATAACCAAGGAGAAACCACAACATTGAATGCTTGGTTCTATCATTATTTCATAATTATAAATATTATTGCTCAAACACAGACTTACACTATCTATTTACGCAGAACTCAAGACATGTTTAGGTTACAGTCTACTCCTCTTAAATCTCTGCATAATCTCAAACTTGCAGATAAGATGAAACGTGTTTTATTCACAATAACCCACAGTTACATCCCCCTGCCATCCATACAGTACATATAATGGTACCAGAATTGAAGTTGTTCAATTTTATAAATATCTGATCTATATATATCTTGGTCATATAGCAGTCTTACATTTAAACACAGAATCTTTTTTATATTGGGAAAAACAGTACATTTTTCTCTTAACAACAGGAAAACAATTGTGCAATTGCCCCTTAAAATCTGGGCTTGAGTATTGAAATCTCCTGCTGCTCATGTCACCTTAACAGGAGATAACGATTATACTCATCACTGTGAACTATCGCTGATCCCAGGATTGTGTACTCCATGAGTAAATATTGTATTTGGAAGGGCTGCTTTGCACCATATAAATTGAATAAATCACAACAGACCTAAAAAAGTATCTCAAAAAATTACTTAAAAACCTTTTCAGAGTTGTCTGTGAATGTTTCTGATGCTGCATGTATGTGCGCGTGAGTGACTGCCTGCAATTTTTGTCTTATGTCTGTTTTTATTTCTTTTGTTGTACTCAGTTCTCCCTTGCAAAACAGATCTTTATCTTAAGTAAGGATGAAGATAATATCTCTTTTGTCCTTTTATGCAAGGTTGTGTCTTATTTCCCGTTTGTGGCCCAAAGGAAAGATGACTCAGGGTATACTGTTACTCCTGGTTTTGCAGACTTTTACAGGATGCACAGGTAAAATGTCTGACATGTCGAAGTGGGACGAGTGGGTTGGTTTGTTTGTCTGCTTCCAGTTAGTAGGAGTACCCTCCCTTGCTGGAGTGTTTTTCCATGAGCTTCACATAGTTGTGTTGTCAGTCATAGTAGGTGTTTCAGGAAGTTTGAGGTTCAGTTGAGAAAAAAAAAAAAAAAAGGAAATATTTCCAGCCGCTGAATAAAGACGTTTGCATTGTCCAAGCTAGCTTGCTACATGCACAGTGATAATGAAAATTAATCTGGGATCAAATCAGTATGGGGTTGACAACAAAAGTAAGGTTATTTGTTTTAGGGGTAACTGTGATATTATTACTGAAATTATATTAGTCATTTGTTACTATACTGGTCAGTAATATTGTTACTTTGCCCTCAGACCACCAAACATTGCAAAACAAACAAAGCAAAAACTCATACTTTAACCAGACAAATACAGGTACACAATATCCCAAGCATAGAGACTAAATCTTCTTCTCAAGTCTAAAAAACTAGCAAAAATAATATCTCTGAATATCTCTATTCTCTGAAGTTTAATGCACCTATAAAACAAAATTTTACCTTACATGCCAGCCCTGATTTCTGTTACATGCATGTAATATCTTCATTTTCAGTTTCTCAAACCTCACCACCAAGTCCTCCGGTGAGACTGGTCAACTCTACCAGCAGCTGCTCAGGCAGAGTGGAGATCTTCCACAATGGCCAGTGGGGAACGGTGTGTGACGACAGCTGGGATTTTAATGATGCTCAGGTGGTTTGTCGACAGCTGGGCTGTGGCAGGGCTGTGGAGGCACCAAGATGGGCACATTTTGGGCAGGGCAGTGGAGAAATTTGGTTAGATGACCTTCAGTGTTCAGGGAGTGAGTCCTCTTTACAAGACTGTCCACATCGCGGATTAGGGAACCACAACTGTGATCATAATGAAGATGCTGGTGTCATCTGTGAAGGTAAGTGTGTTTTCTACTTCGCGTACACTAAGGTAGTTATTGCTCACACATGGAAAAGAAATTAATTTAAATTTGAGTCTAATATTATACCGTAGAGAATGGAAACTGAGGCTTCCAGCACAAAAAGCCACACACACAATTACAGTATGTCTTTGTGTTAAGGCAATTTTCTCTGAACTAAGGGAGCTGAAGGATGAAATGTTTGAGCTATATTGGTGGAATTGAGCATTTCCTCCATCAGTTGCTACAGACATCACCCTTTGATTTCAAACAGGTACTGGCAGTACATTTTCTCCAACCTCACCTGCTTCAACACCACCAAGTTCTCCAGTGAGACTGGTCAACTCTAACAGCCGCTGCTCTGGCAGAGTGGAGATCTTCCACAATGGCCAGTGGGGAACGGTGTGTGACGATTTGTGGAATCTGAATGACGCTCAGGTGGTTTGTCGACAGCTGGGCTGTGGCAGGGCTGTGGGGGCACCACAAAGTGCACGTTTTGGACAAGGCACCGGACCGATCTGGTTGGACAGTGTTCAGTGTTCTGGAAATGAGTCATCAATAACAGACTGTGCACATCAAGGCTTTGGGTCCCACAACTGTGCTCATTCTGAGGATGCCAGTGTAATTTGTGAGGGTAAATTTGTTATTTCATTTTAGATACAATCAAGTTGCCATTGCTTGCACATGGAGTAATCCAATTAATCTTTAACTCTATTTTACACTACAGAAGGGAAATAAAGTTCCACCACAATAAGCCAAACACACAGCATTACCTTTAACCACATTAAGATTAGTGCGAAAGAATGAAATGATTAAGTGCACCCAGGACTGGGCTATATTTATAGTAAAGCAACATTGTGATATGAGATGAGATATCATCTTTAAATCTGGATATTGTAATATAAGTTTAGCCTTTTCCTGGTTAAAGGGTGCTTTGCAGTAAAGGGATATAATTTTCTGAATTCACTAGACTGTTCTAGCTACTCTATTATTTCTCTTTACCCACATAGTCATTATATCCACATTAATGATTATTTATCAAAAATCTCATTGGGTAAATATTTTATGAAAGCACCAATAACTAACCCTATGATATCATTGCAATATCAATATCGAGGTATGTAGTCAAAAATATTGTGATTTTAATCTTCTCCTCATCACCCAGCCCTAAGTCAACATATTATCATGCAACAATGTGTATGATGTCCTACGAATTAGCGCCCCACAAATGACGTTACATACTTAACGTAAAATTACGTACTTAACATAAAGTTATGGAGGTTAGGTTTAGGCAAGTAAAATTACTGTAGCTAGGTTTAGGAAAGGAGATATGGTGATGACTTACCTTAAAATGACTCAGAGTTTACACAGTTCCAAACACCTGTCTCCAAGGGTCTCCATTGTTATGTAATCGCAGCCTTCCTAAATATGTGGGCTATGCACTAATTACTAGCTCATAATTACGTGAGATATGTACAAATTTTGGTGCATTACTTTTAACAGGAAAACATACAAACAGTGCATGAGAACTGCCTGCCTAAGGACACCTATACTGTTGAAACAGCTTTTTGTCCTTACTGGTGGTGGCATAGCAGCCTACTGTTGCCATCTGGGCTCACCAAGTTTTCTTTTATTGTAACCAGAAAGTTACAGCACAGTTTCTACAACCACTCCTGCTCCAACACCACCAAGTTCTCCAGTGAGACTCGTCAACTCTAACAGCAGCTGCTCTGGCACCGTGGAAATACACAACAATGGACGCTGGGGGACAGTGTGTGATGACATCTGGGGACTGGCTCATGCTCAGGTGGTTTGTCGACAGCTGGGCTGTGGCAGGGCTGTGGCAGCACCAAGAAGTGCACATTTTGGACCAGGCACTGGACCAATCTGGTTGGATAATGTTAATTGTTCAGGAAATGAGTACTTACTGACAGACTGTGCACATCAAGACATAGGATTACACAATTGTGTCCATGACGAGGATGCTGGGGTCATCTGCGAAGGTAACTGTTTAGGGTATGCATACTTTGAAATAATACATAGTCAGAGCTCTTAGCTTTTGAATTTTGGGCCAGCTGTTTCCCCTTGCCTCCAATCTTTACGCTGAGCTTACCTAAATTTATGTAATTCATTATTTCATGCCAGTCTGACCTGAAATATTGAATCAAAACAATATTTGAGTCATCCTCCAAGTGGTATGTATGTTCATTGATATTTTTCTTTGACCTCAAGCAGACATCAGCAGCACAATGTCTGCAACCTCACCTGCGCCAACACCAACACCAAGTTTACCACTGAGACTGGTCCACCCCAACAGCCGCTGCTCTGGCAGAGTGGAGATCTTCCACAATGGCCAGTGGGGAACGGTGTGTGACGACAGCTGGGGACTGGCTCATGCTCAGGTGGTTTGTCGACAGCTGGGCTGTGGCAGGGCTGTGGAGGCACCACAAAGGGCACATTTTGGACAAGGCACTGGACAAATCTGGTTAGATAACCTTCAGTGTTCAGGTAATGAGACATTAATAACACACTGTACACATCAAGGCTTTGGATCCCACAACTGTCATCATGGCGAGGATGCTGGTGTCATCTGTGAAGGTAATTGTTGTTTTTTTCTGCCTTAAGTTTTTAATTTTCTCTGAACTGAACTGAAATGATTGAGTACAGCTGGTGGAATAGGGCTTTTAGTCTCTCAGTTGCTATGTGAGTTTACACTGATTCTCCTTTGACCTCAAACAGATACCAACAGTACATTTTCTTCAAGTACACCTGCTTCAACACCACCAAGTGTTGGAGTGAGACTGGTCAACTCTAACAGCCACTGCTCTGGCAGAGTGGAGATCTTCCACGATGGCCAGTGGGGAACGGTGTGTGACGACAGCTGGGGACTGAATGAAGCCCAGGTGGTTTGTCGACAGCTGGGCTGTGGCAGGGCTGTGGAGGCACCACAAAGTGCACGTTTTGGACAAGGCACTGGACAAATCTGGTTGGACAGTGTTCAGTGTTCTGGAAATGAGTCATCAATAACAGACTGTGCACATCAAGGCTTTGGGTCCCACAACTGTGCTCATTCTGAGGATGCCAGTGTAATTTGTGAAGGTAAATGTTTATGCATATTTGAAGTACTCAAGTCATCATTTTAACTTTTTTTGTTGTAATATTTTGAAATCATACAGCAAATTTAAGAGGGGTTCTTCTTTTTTGTTCCACGTTTTTAGAACATCAACTTCTACTCCAGGCAGCTCAGCTCGTTTGCTCCCCTTATCAGCTTGAAGTTGGTGTGCGACTGGACAGCCTGCTGTCAGCTGGTTTGAACGCATACTCTGGTCAGCTGGCAGCCCCTTACTGTACAGGCTACAGAATGCATGGTAATACTGTGTGGTACCAAGTGGCACGTCAGGCTGGCATCTGCGGAACTGTACTTACGGTGAAAATTGATTACTTTTATACAGCTTTATTATTTGTTAATTCATTCATTCATTCATCTTCTAACCACTTCATCCTCTTGAGGGTCGCGGGGGGGCTGGAGCCTATCCCAGCTGACATCGGGCGAGAGGCAGGGTACACCCTGGCCAGACTATCGCAGGGCTGACACATAGAGACAGACAACCATTCACACCTACGGACAATTTAGAGTTATCAATTAACCTAGTCCCCAATCTGCATGTCTTTGGACTGTGGGAGGAAGCCGGAGTGCCCAGAGAGAACCCACACTGACACGGGGAGAACATGCAAACTCCATACAGAAGGGCTCCCACACCCGGAATCGAACCAGCAACCCTATTGCTGTGAGGCAACAGTGCTAACCACCACACCACCGTGCCGCCCTATTTGTTAGTTCTGTTCTGTTTATTCTGTTAAACTCCCTTCTCTTCAGCTTCAGTTAATTTGTTTGCTATGTATAATAGGGCTAAAGGGAACAAATAATTTCAGTTTTGATCCATCTTTTGATACATTTTTTGAATTATCCAGAAATTGTTTGGTCTACAAAATGTCCAAACAGAGTGTATGCCTCTACGAATTTATGAAAGCCCAAGGAAAAATTTCTAAATGTCTTATTTTATGCAAATAATGGTCCAAAACCCAAAGATATCTGGGCTGAAATTATATTTATAACTGTCACAGCATGATTCTACTAAACATAAACTCATGTTTAAAACAACGGAAAAGCTGGATTTAAGGGAGAATGCCAAAGCAAATTCTGTGTTGGTTGCAAGTGGATAGAGGAAGTTGGTGTTTGTTAAGTTGGGTAAGTTAAGTTGATTTCTTGCTGAAATCATTATCACCGTAGTCTAAGGTTGGACTGCTGCGAGACTGTGTTTACAACTGCAAAGCACAGTCTGTTTTCATGAAAACAGGAGAGGATGGATGAACCATGGATGGATGAAGGATGGATGTGTAAAATAATGGACGTAGCTACTGTTACATCACCCACTAGTTTGTGGAATCCTGTTTTGAAGCCTGAAGTTTGGCACTTTAGCCATCGCCATCTTGGATTTTTGGAGCCAGAAGTGACCATATTTCCATGAGAGGGTGGAGCTAACCCTAACACTCGCCTCTAGCTTGGTTAGGTCAGTTAATTTAGCATACAGACATAGTTAACTGTTATAATGCTAATGCTGATTTTCGTAAGCAAAAAACAGGCTTAAAACAATTAAAACAAAATGTACCCCAAAAACTACATCCGAATTGTTAGAGGGTCTTTTAGTACAACCAGTCGCTGAACAATAAACCTAACAAAAACCTTCAATGAAGTGAAAATATACTGAAGGAGTGGCAGCTACAGCTAAGCCCATACCCTGTGAATCTGGGGTAACGTCATAGTTACTTTACCTAAGCAATGATGTAGCTGTGGACAGCACCCCTTGTGGCTCAAAGTGGCCATGCTCGTAATTATGCGTAACTTTAAGTCTTAATAACATTAAAACAATTTAATTATATAAAAATTCACCCCCTGTACAGTTATCATTAATGGGAAATTAGCTATAAAGACCAAAACCGCTTTTTGTACCTTGCTGTGAACATGTACAATTCAGCTGTAAAGTTCGGCATTTTAACATGGGGGTCTATGGAGACGCTTTTGAAGCCAGCCTCAAGTAGCAACTTGAGGAGCTGCAGTTTTTGATACCTCCATTTTGGCTTTATTTTTCAGCCCCAGAGATTCTTGCTTGGGTATAGGCTGGCATGACAAGTAATAAAAGGGGTGGCTGAGGTGTGGCCCTACCCCAAAGTGTTCATTCAAGTGACAGCAAATGTGTTTATTCGTGAGGAAGACAGAAACTACTTGTAACTATATATTGTATTATAATCATTGACTCCAACTCTCCAACTTTAACTGTTATTAAACCCGTCTTTCATACAGTATGAAAGGTTTCCCAAAGGTTTTCAGTTACTTGCTGGCTGCACTGCAGCATGTAACTAAAGGCCTTATTCAATAACTATAGGCATTATTCAGCTGACTGGTCATCCTTTCTCTTTCAGACCAACACCACCCATGCCATTTACTCCAACTCTTTGTTTTTATACCCTCTGAGCAATGATACCTTGGGTTTACCTGAGATTATTCCATTCACCTGTGCCTATCCCTTGGAAACCAAAACCAGCCTAAACACTGAAATCAGACCACACCTGTGAGTCTTCTATTTCATTCCTTGACTATAACAACACGTTTAATAGATGTACATCACTGGAGGGGTGAAACACATCTCTGATTGTTTTTCTTTCTTAACAGCCCTGGGTATGGCCTCATGGGGTCAGGTTCCAGGCCCATAGCCAACATGAATCTGTTCCGAGACTCCAACTTTTCGAACAGCTACCCAGGGGGCCAGGTCATCCTGCCAGTGGGCTCTGCACTGCATGTGCAAGTGTTTGTGCCTGAGAATGATCCAAGCTTTGCAGTTGTTTTGGAGGACTGCTATATCACTTACTCCTCAAACCTTGATGATCCCATGCGATACTATCTCATCCATTATGGGCATGTGTCTCTCCAGATTTAAACTGAACAAAAATGTAATAAACACACTTTTGTTCATTCTCCAATTTTTCACAGGTTAAAGTTAAAGATCTAAGACTTTTTATGCACTCAATAGACATGTTTCTCTCAAATTTTTGGTTGCTAATTTGTTGAGGACCCATGTTGGTGAGCACTTCTCCTTTTCCAAGATCATTTTTCCACCAACAGTTGTGGCATAGCAAGATGCTGATTAAATAGTATCATTACTACACAACTGTGCCTTGTGATGGACAATGAAAGGACACTCTGTGCCGTTTGATCACACAACACAATGCTGCAAATGTCACAAGTTTTGAGAGAACATGCCATCGGCAGGCTGACTGCAGGAATGTCCACCAGAGCTGTTGCTTGTGAACTGAATGTTTATTTCACTACCACAAGATGCCTTCAAAGTAATTTCTGTGAATATGGCAGTACATCCAACCGGCCTCACAACCGCAAAATTTGGTAACTGCTGTTTTGTTTAGACCCTGGTGAGGATGACTAGCATGCAGATGAGCTTCCCTGAGATGGTTTCTCATGGTTTATGCAGAAATTCTTTGGTTGTGCAAACCAGTTATTGCATCCACTGTGTGGGTGGCTGGTCTCAGATGATCTGCCCTGAGATGGTGTGGTTACATGTGCTCTGCAGTTGTGTGGCTGTTTGAATATCCTGCCAAATTAATAGAAACGACAGTGGAGACGATTATGGTAGTGAAATGAACATTCAGTTTACAACCAACAGCTCTGGTGGACATTCCTGCTGTCAGCAGGCCAATGGCATGCTATCTCAAAATTTGTGACACCTGTGGCATTGTTTTGTGTGATCAAACTACACATTTTAGAGTGGCCTTTTACTGTGACCGTCCCAAGGCACACCTGTGTTGTACTTATGCTGTTTAATCAGCATCTTGATATGCAACACCTGTCAGGTGGATGAATTTTCTTGGAAAAAGACAAGTGCTCACTAGCAAATTTGAGAGAAATATATCTATTGTGTGCATAAAAAAGTCTGAGATCTTAAATTTAACCTGGAAAAAATTGGGAGAAAAAACAAAAGTGTAGCATTTAAATTTTTGTTTAAAAAGATAGACAAGAATCAAAAATATAAAATCAGTGCTGATTTGTTATGGTCCTAATGACTGTCTGACATCATTGCCAGGTGTCCTACTGACTCTCATCATGTGTCAGTGGTTGAGAACGGCCTGTCCCTCCATGCTCGTTTTTGTGCCCTGCTCTTCCCTATCCAGGGTGACAACCCATATGTCTTCTTACACTGCAGAGTACGCCTGTGTGATAAGAGGAGCCAAAACTGTGTTCCAGTGAGTCAGATACTCATCCTCTCACTCAGTCAAAATAATCAATCAGCAATCAGTGCTTTATACCCAAACACTGGGTATAGGTCTCTTATCACTCTAATCCTCCTCTCACCTTACAGCGCTGCAGAGGAAGGACACATCGCTCTGTTGACTACTCAGCTCAGCTCGATCCCGTCACCGTTGGACCAATCATCTGTGAGTACAAAATACAGTCTGGTATCTGAGCTGAAGTCTCAACACTGTGAACTGTATGGAAGTTATAACCATCTTTTCTTTTCCTCTCATTCTGATCTTTAGGGAAGAACTGACATCTTCATGGAACAAGCTGTTAAACACTGCCAAGTGATGCACACACATTTTGATGATATTTTTATTTTAGATGTTGCATGATTTAGACTTGATCACTGATATAATTTCTGTCACTACATTATGTAGGCTTTGATCAATGGTGGCTGTCTTTTAGCTCGTTAGCAGCAACACTTTTGCATGTCCTGACCTGTATTATTCTATAATAAAAATGGTACACCAATTGAAGTATGCATTAACGAAACCCCGAGTTGTAATAAAGATTCGTGAGTAAATATGAGTCTGCCTGTTCTAAATAAAGAAATGGCAAAAAAAGAAAAAAAAATCTCTTGATTATGTTCAATCAGTGCAGTTAATAAAAACACCTTCTCAAAAGTTACCAGAAGATTTACTGTGACAGTAAAGGTGATCTTTTGTTACCTGTTTGTTGGCCCTCTCATTTGTTGTCACAGAATAACTGTTTTTATAATAATATTGCTATTTTAATAAATATTATTCATCTGCACTGCAGTCATGAATACATATGAACCAATGCATCATCAAAGCATGACACAGGCAGAGCCTACCACCATGTGGACAGACAGGTGTATTGCATGCTTTGATATGATACTGGCTTTGATACCCATATTGCTCCCCAGTGTTTCCATCCAGTTTTCTGACCCAAACACATTGTGTGTATCCTTGAGGCCTAATAAACACACTGAGATGCATTTCTGTCATCAGAAATTTTTGCAAAGCAATTTTTTACAAGAATTTAAATGCATAGCTAATCCTCAGGGTTAGTGTTTAGGCTATTCCTTCAGATTTTCAGTACGACTTTTGGGGCCCTTTGACTATGAAATGCTAAGTTAATAACAGCTACTTCACCCAAAGGCTCTGGCTTAGGGGGCCGCTGAGTCCATGTTCCCCTGGGCCCTTGGGCCTGTTTGTTAATCCACCCATGGAAAGAGCCAGGTGTTCTAACGCAGCTGATTATCTTTTGTATACATTTAAGTGAGAGTTTCATGCTCATCCAAGCTTTGGAACCATTCCAATTGTCAACCACATAACATGATGCAGAAAATTAATCAGACCTACTTCTGCTGTCATGTTTAAGTCTATTTATCCATAAATTTGTGTTTCCCCTTCCCTTAACCTGCTACCAACCTTAGCCCTATCCACAGCAAGCTATCCCTGCAAGGCCTCACCCTAACATGGTGATACTCAACTTAGGGCCCATGGGCCAAATCTGGCCCACAATGCCAGGTGGCCAGCCAACCATCTTCTAACTCACAATGAAAATAAATTGATACACACTGGGTATTTTGTTTGTGCTTTTAATGTAAGTTAGGTGCCTAAGGGCATAAAAAGCATCAAAATAAAACTTGTTTATTAAAAAAAAAGGACCCCATGACAGAAGTCCAGGCTAAGCCCTAAATTTCCTCCTGCCATTTTTGCTAAAAATGTAAAGCAAGTTGAGTATCCCTGCAAGACCTACCCTAAGCCTTGACCCCATCAACAAAAGACTGAAATCATAAGTGACCCTAATAACTCTATTGCTGTGAAACTAAAGGCAGGACTGTGTATGGCATCATCCGCCTGCACACATGTATAGGTCCCTCGATAAAAACAAAATAGGAATGCACTCATTAACCTTTCTCCATAGTGCTAGTGGTTAAAATCCCATACAATAGCTTTAGCCTTACTCTTTTGACCTGTTCACATGGCTTATTCTCCCAGGCTAATCTTTTATTTTCTTCACCAATGTCCTCCATAAAAAAATCTTTTCACCTTTGCTTTACTTACTAAGTGCTTCAAGCTGAGACATATTTCAATATGTCTGACTTTGCTGACTCATAGTGGCATCACAAAAGGCACTACATGTAGTAGAAGACAAGGTACAGGAGAAAATAGTAGACACAGTTAGAGATGAGTTGGTGAACATAATGGAACATTCATCAGCTAAAGAGACAGATACATTCCTCAGAAGTTGGTTGTGACCAAAAACAGAGCTAAAAGAGAGTGAATATTGTTATATGAGTGTGTGTGTGTGTGTGTGTGTGTGTGTGTGTGTGTGCGCGCAAGAGAGCAGGAGAGACTTCCTCCTGGAGTCCAGTGTGAAAGTTATACTGATTAATTACTTGACGTTGAAAAGACGTTTATGTAAAATGTAAATTACTTGCCCTCTTGCAGTGGGTTTGCTAGTATATGCCCTTGAAAAATTAAGATGTCTTTATTCAAAACGATCCTCACTCATCACACCTATTTTGGTTTCCCTGCATTGGCCTCCAGTCTCTTTTCGAGTCCATTTTAAAGTGCATTTAATCACAAGGCTCTCAATGATCTGACACCGGAGTGTATAATTGAGCTTCTCACACCATACTGTCCAAACAGGCCCCTCAGGTCTGCTAGTCTGGATCTTCTAGCTGTTCCAGAGTCCAGGTTAAAAACAAAGGGTGATCGAGCCTTTTCAGTTCTTGCTCCTGAGCTCTGGAACAGCCTCCCACTGAGCATCATCAGCTGACTCTGTTCACGTCTTTAAATCTCGTCTCGGGGCGTCTTTGGCTTAGTGGATAGAGCAGGTGCCCCATGTACAAGGCTGTTGCTGCAGCGGCTCGGGTTCGAGTCCAGCCTGTGGCCCTTTGCTGCATGTCATCCCCTATCTCTCTACCCCTTTCACACTTGACTGTCCTGTCCATTAAAGGCAAAATGCCCAAAAAAAGATTTGGTCTCAAAACTTACTTTCACATATTCGCCTTTCCTGACAGTTGATAGACTTATTATGTGTGTGAGTGTGTATGTATATTTGTATTTGTATATACTTGTTTTCAATGTTACATTGCAGTATGGAATATGAGTAAACAGAATCTGTGTCTATTACAAAAAATAAAAAAGTTATATTGTAAAGGTGGCCACCGGCAAGTTCAGCCTAGAATAGGCCATTCTGGAGCCTTGTGGACACTTCCCAATGGTCAGTACGCCCCCTGTATGCAATGCTCACGTTAAGGATCAACTTCTTTTGCATACATCTTTAAAATACATTCACCGGCCACTTAATTAGATACAACTGTTCAACTGCTCGTCAACACAAATAGCCAAGCTGCCAACTGTGTGGCAGCAACTCAAGACAGGCTGGTCTGAGTATTTCAGAAACTGCTGATCATGTGGGATTTTCACACACAACTATCTCTAGGGTTTACAGAGGATGGTCTGGAAAAGAGAAAATATCCAGAGAGCAGCAGTTCTCTGAGTGAAAATGCCTTATTGATGCCAGAGGTCAGAGGAGAATGGCCAGACTGGTTCAAGATGATAGAAAGGCAACAGTAACTCAAATAACCACTGGTTACAACCAAGATATGCAGAAGACCATCTCTGAGCCAACAACACGTCGAAGCTTTGGACACAGGTGCCACTCCTGTCAGCTAAGAACAGGAAACTGAGGCTACAGTTCATATGGTCTCACTTGGACAATAGAAGATTGTAAAAACAGTGCCTGGTCTGACGAGTCTCGATTTCTGCTGCAACATTCAGACAGTAGGGTCAGAATTTGGTGTAAACAACATGAAAGCATGGATCCATCCTGCCTTGTATCACAGGTTCAGGCTGCTGGTGGTGGTGTAATGGTGTGGGGGATATTTACTTGGCACACTTTGGGCCCCTCAGTACCAACTGAGCATGGTTTAAACACCACAGTCTACCTGAGTATTGTTGCTGACCGTGTCCATCCCTTTATGACCACAGTGTACCCATCTTCTGATGGCTACTTCCAGCAGGATAACGCGCCATGTCACAAAACTCAAATCATCTCACACTGGTTTCTTGAACATGACAATGAGTTCACTGTACTCCAATGGCCTCCACAGTCACCAGATCTCAATCCAATAGAGCACCTTTGGGATGTGATGGAACGGGAGTTTCACATCATGGATGTGCAGCCGACAAATCTGCAGCAAATAGGTGATGCTATCATGTCAATATGGACCAGAATCTCTGAGGGTTGTTTCCAGCATCTTGTTGAATTTATGACCTGAAGAATTAAGGCAGTTCTGAAGGCAAAAGGGGTCCAACAACCAGCTAACTAAATAGAGAGCAAGTGTTTTATTTTACCTACTGTGGTTGTCGCCCATTTACAGCTGCATACATTCTACCTTTTCTGGCTGTAGGCCCTCACACTTTATCCAATATGTAGATGATTCAGTCCAGTGGGAAAATGTCATTAAGAAAGTCCTCATTTCCTACCAATCCCAAGCGGACGTGAATTCAACGCTGCCTTCAGGGGCTGTAGGACATATCACTTTGATATTCTGGCCTACAGGCCACGAGCCACCAATACGCAAAATTGCCCCTAAAATGCTGATGAGAGTTTTGCTTGCACCCAGAAAAATGAGCTGTACAGTTAAGTGAACAACATTTTCCTCCGGCCCAAACATTTCGCACATGTGTTAATGCTGAAGATGGAGTTATTACTGTGGGCAGAGAACCTTTAGTTTCAGTTGCTGATTTAGTCTTTTTCTCCTGACATATCAGTACAGTGCAGTGACTCATACTGTAGATATATTAGCCTATGTTTGTCACCATGGCAGCGTCACTGCAATTGCAATTGGTCTAATAAGTCAGTGGGGGTGTGACGTCAATAACAGCGTTTGAAAAGGAGGTTTGTGTTACACAGATGTTATGCATCAGAAGCTCCCCTGCAATACCGGGACGATTTTATTTATTTATTTTAAAACGAAATGAACGTCAATACGAGTTTAGATTGTTAATATAGGGGTTTACGAGCAGCACTTGAAGGAGGCATGATGCTGCGCGCGTAATGGATTTCCCCAGCACTGCTGCTTATCGGGGACCAGGAGCTGCAGCTGCAGCAGCCCAACCACATTAAGATCTGCTCCACCACTTGATGCCGGTGACCTTGGCTAACGGTGATTCCGCCCCTCAGTCTTGCATTTTGCTTCTTTATTCACCATGGCATCCTCGGATGGGCTGGAGGAGGATTGCGTGTTGCAGCGGGGAAGATCTCAGA